CCTAAGTTGTTGTGCATATCAATAGTCTGTTCCTCTATATTGCTGAGTAATATTCCACAGTATGAATGTACCACAGTTCGTTTAGCCATCCCAAATTGGATGACATTTTTGTTGTTTACAGTTTTTGGCTATTGCAAATGAAGATGCATATCCAACTGGTCTGGCACTATTTATTGGATAGACTATCCTTCTTTTATGGAATTGCTTTTGCACATTTATCAAAAATTAGTTGCTTGTACCTGTGTGTTCTCTATTCTGCTCCATCTTTGTGTGTATCTATCTGCAAATTTTAAAGTGTTGATTCCTATAACTATATAATAAATGTTCCTATCAGGTCAAGTGATTCATCCCACTTTCCTTTTCAGAATTGTTTCAGCTGTTCTAAGCATTTTGTATTTCCACATAAATTTTAGAATAATTAGGTCCACATCCATAAAACATCTTTCAGGAATTTTGATAAGGATTGCATTAAACCTGTATTAATTTAAAGGATAATTAACATTATATTATATTGAGTCGTCCAATCCATGAACACAGCATGTCTATTTATTTAGATCTTATTTGATCTCTTTCATTGGCATTTTGTAATTCTCAGCATACAACTTCAGTACAGGTTTCCTTAGATTTCCACTTAAGTATTTCAGTTTTTGAGTGACTGTAAAGGATAATGTATTTTAATTTCAGTTCCCATGTGTCCTTTGTTAATATAGAAATACAATTAATTTTTGTATGATCATCTTACAGTCTACAACTTTACGGAACTCACTTATTAAGTCTAGAATTTTTGCTAGATTCCTTGCGATCTTCTACATAACCATCGCATCATCTGCAAAAGGGACAGTTTTATTTCTTCCTTTCTGATGTGTATGACTTTTATTCCTTTTCTTCCTTTATTCCACTGACTACACCTTCCAGAGCTATGCTGAATACAATTGGTGAGGATGAATATCTTTGCCTTGTAACCGATTTTAGGGGGCAAGCATTCAGTCTCTGACCACCAAGTATGATATCAACTGTAGGTTATTTGTAGATGTTTTTCATCAAGTTGAGGATGTTTCCTCCTATTACTAATTTTCTAAGATTTTTTAAAAGTATGAATAGGTGTTAAATTGGTCAAATGTCTTTCCTTAATCACTTTAAAAGATCCTGTGATTTTTCTTCTGTAGATTGTAAATATGGTGGATTACATATATTGATTTCAAATACTGACCCAGCCTTTTATCAATATAATAAACACCACTTGGTCATAGTGTATAATTATGTATACATATGTTATACAAAGATATACATTAAAAACACTATACATAAATCAAAATGGAATTCTAAAAAAGTCCATGTGACCCACAGAAAGCCAAGGAATATAAAACACAGAAACAGAAAAGACAGAAAAGAATAATAAAATGGGAGACTTAAGCCTTAGCATATCGATGACTACATAAAATGTAAATGTCTTCTTCAGTTTTAAAATACTAAAAGTCATAAATTCCCATTTTTAAAATGAAAGTGAAAGTGAAGAAGTTTATAAGTTTAAAAAGTGAAGTTCTCTCTCACCCAATCCCATACCTATGGATAGCTTAAGTTTGGTTACTTAAGTAACAGTTACTACTTGAGAGTGTGCTGTGTATCCAACCCAACCTTTACCCCTTAGTAAATAAAGAGAATGAAAGCAAGAGGGAGTGGGCGTGAGAGAAAGAGTTTGATTTTTAAAATGGCCCACTCTCAACCTATCATTCTACAACTTACTTTTCTCATTTGATAATATGACATGGGTACCTTTGTGTAAGAGTGTATATTTCTCTTGTCCATTTTGGACTGTGTATTGATCCATAATATGAATCTACTGTGATCTATTTAATCTTACTTCCAAACTTTTGTTGTTGTAAATAGTGTTTCGAAGGACATCATTAATTTCTAAGTAAGTTCTGTGATCTCCCTTCTACAGAGGAAGGAACTGAGGCTGAAGGGAGTTACGTCCTTTGTCTCTTTTAACTTGTGGGACAAGAATTCAAACCCAGGTCTGCTGGTTTCCTTTCCACTGCCCAGTGCTGAATATGCAGGAAGCTTCAGAAGCACTGAGACTCATTATAGGCTAAGCACATTCAAAATACTCGGGTAGTTCGTGATTTTATTCATAGCATTCTATTGATTACCAAATGACTTCACCGTAGATGAAACAAAGAATTTCATACTGAGCCAACTGTCTTTAGCTACAGATTTTGTCTGTGGAGGTGGGCGGTGGGGCTTGACCTGGTTTCCTCAGCTCTTGAAGAGTCCCCATGATGTCATCATTATGACATATTATTGAATCAGAATTATTAACGTCAAATTAGTATAATAAATATAATTATAATTACCCTATAAAGATTCTAGATTAAGTGGACTGCCGATCTAGCTTCCTCTGACAAGTGCTTCTACTCAATGCTTGGAATCCTCCTTGAAAGGGCTGCATTTCAGGTATTTTACAGGAAGTTAACCTGAGGAAGGAACTTGCAATAGTTCCTCAGCCTTCACTAAGCATTGAATTGAAGAGAATTGTTTCTTGTTCTTTTACTACAAAGTTATCCCACTGTGCATATTTCTCAAAATATTTAAAGAACCAGAGAAGCCCGTATTAACAACAGGCTCAGTTGGCTACATTCCTCCCCCTAAAGACACATTCTTACTGACCATCTCATCTATGTGGGTATATAGCTCTGCTCAGAGTTACTGGCATCAGAGTAAAGGAACCCTCTAATGATGCACTGGGGATGTGGATATTCCCACTATGATCAACTTCTTTTATTACATAGTATTTTACGTGTGTAAATGCGGAAAATTATATGAAGAATAATGCAATTACAACATATTTAGCCATGATACAATTCAAAATACAAATAATGGCCGATATATTTAGACCCCTTATGTACCCTTCAATTATCCACCATGAAATTAACAATTATCCTACAATGTATGTATATAAATCTCATGTGTCTGTTTGTGTGTGTGTGGGGGGGGGGGTTGTTAGTTCAAAAAATGTTCCTTCTCCATTTGTAGTTTCTGCTGCTTCCTAGTGGTCTTTTTTTCTTTCTTTGTTCTTCAGTTAATTGTTAAGCCATGTTTTTCTGTTCATGTTGATGAGTGAAGGAAGACTCTAGGTCTTAGCTTAGCTACTGATAATGTGTGTTAGTATAATTTGCTTCTTAGAGGCTCTTAACCAATACTCATTCTTTCAATACACCCATCAGCCCTCTTCCAGTGTACCTGTTGATATCAATTCCTGAGCCTTTTGAGGATTCTGCAGTATGAATCAAGTTGATTCTCAGCTTTCAACATTTTTGGCTCAGAATTTGGTCTTCTTGGGTCTGATGAATTATTTCTCACACATCAATCCATTTTCCAGGTTGAACACTTGTACTATTCATATATCTTCATATGTTTATGCCTTTTGAAAAAAAAATCCTTATTGTGGTATGTGACTTCAATGACATTGCTAAAAATAAGACTACTGATGTAACAAATAAATTCCAAAATCTCAGTGACTTATTGCAATAGAAGTTCTCAATCACATAAAATCCAATGAAGGAAAGGGGATGCTGTCAGGGGGCTCTGCTGCACACAGACATTTGAGAACACAGCCTTAAGGAGGCTACAATAAGGAACACAGGTAAGGTTGCCAGACTTAGCAAATAAAAACAAAAGAGGCTCAGTTAAATTTGAACTGCAATAAATAGCAAGTTATTTTCATATAAATATTTCCCAGGCAATATTTAAGTCACACTTCTACTAAAAAATTTCTGGTATATATCTATAATTCAAGTTTAACTGAGTGTTCTGTATTTTATCTGGCAACCCTAACATATAGCTTCCAACGTTTCTCTGAATGTCAAGATCGAGCCAAGAGATGAGAAGAAAAGGAAGTAGAAAGTCATATGGTTCCAGTTTGAGAGGAGTGGGGAGAGATTGGTTCACTCTTAGAAGTAGTGTTCATTACTATGGCTCATGTTCCATGGGCAGAACATGGTATCATGGCCACACATGAGAAAGTTTGGTTGCAAGTGTGCACTGACACTGTGCTCAGAAGAAAAGACAAGTGTATTGATGAGCAGCAAGTCTGTTTCTGCCATACCAGTGGTCCATGATACATTCCTCCACAATGAGCAGTGCTCAGCAGTATGGAATGGTGTTTAAAAGTAAAGGCATTGGAATCAGGGAGTTTGAGGACTTTCAATATATTAAAAATCATGGATGAAGACATCTCAGCTGTCTACCTAACCAGATACAGGGGTAGCATGACTCAAAGTAGAAAACAAAGAGATTTATCACTAAAAATAAGCTATCATTATGTATTAATAAAATTTTTTAATGATGATTTGTCCTGCAGCTAGGTTATAACTAAAAAGAAAGACAATTCAATGGGAAATGCAAATCTATCTCTCAGAAACCAATACATATATGTATTTATATGTAAAATGAGAGGATTATCTGGCTTGTAAAGAATGTCACCTAAATGGAAGGTGCATGCTAAGGACAGTAGCACAGACACCCTGAAACCTTCAAACACATGTGGACCATAACATATCTCAGAAAATTCTGTAATTAATTCTACTATTTTCAGGAGTTTGAACCAGGATTAAAATGATAAATGGCTGATAAAAACTATAGCTTGTTGAAAAGGTAAAAAATCATACTGACATATTGCTTTAAGCAAATATGGATACCTGTTTAATATAGTGGAGACATGTTTTAATCTATATTTCTTAGAATCACACATATTAGAAGTCAATATTCTTTATTTTGAAAATGAATCCATTGCGCACATATCACTGTTTATGTGGTGGTTTCTTATCAAGAAAATATGAGGAATATTTCAGGAGATATAAACCATGTTGGGAGTATTTGCCATGAAAATCCAATTCAAATAAAGTGATATGAAATGTTAAAGGCTTATCCTTTCAATAAGTTACCAATATTTCCCTTCTTTTCTTGGTCCTGCGCTTGATCCTTTCTAGACTTTTGTAGCCATGCCACAAGGAAATAGCACTGAAGTGACTGAATTCTTTCTTCTGGGATTCAGTGACCAACGCAAATTGAAGTATGTCATCTTCATTGTGTTTCTAGTGATCTATGTGACCTCCATGGTGAGTAACGTTGGAATGATCCTACTCATGAGGACAGATTCCAGACTTCAAACACCCATGTACTTTCTCCTACAACATTTGGCTTTCGTTGACATCTGTTATACCTCTGCTATCACTCCCAAGATGCTACAAAATTTGACAGTAGAAAATAAATCAATATCCTTTGGGGGCTGTGTCACACAATTATTGGTATATGCAACATTTGCTACCAGTGACTGTTACCTCCTGGCTGCTATGGCAGTGGATCGGTATGTAGCCATCTGTAACCCACTTCGCTATCCCCTAGTCATGTCTCGAAGAACCTGCATACAATTGGTAGCTGGTTCATATGTCATAGGCTCAATAAATGCTTCTGTACACACGGGTTTCACATTTTCACTGTCCTTCTGCAAATCCAATGCCATCAATCACTTTTTCTGTGATGTTCCCGCAATTCTCATCCTTTCCTGCTCCAACATTGACATCAACATCATGCTACTTGTTGTCTTTGTGGGATTTAATTTGATGTTAACTGTGTTAGTTGTCATCTTTTCCTACATATACATCATGGTCGCCATCCTAAAGATGTCTTCTACTGCAGGGAGGAAAAAAGCATTCTCCACATGTGCTTCTCACCTTACAACTGTCACCATTTTCTATGGAACCCTGTCATACATGTACGTCCAGCCTCATTCTAATAATTCCCAGGAGAATATGAAAGTGGCCTCCATATTTTATGGTATTGTGATTCCCATGTTGAATCCCGTGATCTATAGTTTGAGAAATAAGGAGGTAAAAGAAGCTATAAAATTGATGGGGAAATATTTCATCTAGATTGGAATGGAATTGTTAAAATTCAGCACATGAAAGCATTCAGCAGAGATATTTGACCACTGTTTATTGTTTCTGAAATTAGGATCACATTCACATCTTAAACCAATGCTACCTGTTTCAACAGATAAGTTCTTAGAATGTGAGAATATAGTAACATCTCAGGAGAGTAATTTTCCTGTAAATATAGTTTGAAAAACATATCTCATACTACCCATGAAGAAGGGCTTTATTGAAATTATTTAAAATATTAAGATGTATAGACTTTACAGTGTATTTATTTCTTTCAGATATATTTCAAATATGTTATTAAAGCCTGGGCAATCCCAATTTTGTATATAATCAATATTAAAATTGAAGTTCATTAGTATCCCTTCATATAAACAGATTTCTTAAATTGCCCACAAAGAGGCTCTTTATATGTTCTCTTCCAATTATAGCATAAACCTTAATGTAAAATAAACATATTTCTTTGGAGAGCACCTTCAGGCTATATGTTCTACCTAATAGTCTCATATTAGTTACATTCTCTAGCAATTGAAAACACTTATCTCTTGTGTGAGGTTATGACTTCCTTTTATCGTTAGTCTTTTGTCATTCTCTTTATTCTGAATGCATCTCTTTCTTGCATAGGGTAAGGAAACTCCTAGAAACATTTTCTATATCTCTCTCCAGTGGAGATAGAAAATCTAGAACATGGATGGATCCAAAAAAGTAAACAATGGTCATTCATTTATGAAAGGCATACCAATCACTTTAGTCCAGAGAAACAACTTTAACTATAGGAATTCAATGAGAAGTTGAAGAGAGGCCAACAGCCCTTTGAATCAGGAAGATAAACTGTTGACGAAAAAGTGTTAGTAGATAGATTGAAGGTGCTTATTAGAAAGATTGATGAAAATCTCCACAGGGATCTAGAGATGCTATACTCTCTAGATGAAAAAGCAAGTTTCAGGGGCTGGCCCAGTGGCATAGTGGTTAAGTTCACATGCTCCACTTTGATGACCCAGGGTTTGCAGGTTCAGATCTCAGGTGTGGACCTATGCACCACTTATAAAGTAGAGGAATATGGGCACAGATGTTAGCCCAGCGCCAATCTTCCTCAGGAAAAAAAAAAAAGAGGATTGGCAACAGATGTTAGGTCAGGGCTAATCTTCCTCACCAAAAAAAAAAGAAAAGGAAAGGAAGTTTCACACCAGAATAACAGTAGACAGTCTAATGAACTGCCCAGAAAATGTACTGTTAAGTAACATCTCAAAGAGTTTGGGGCATGAGAAGGAGATATATTTTTCAAATACAATATCCTGCATAACTTCTAAAAGAAGAGAAAAAATTAATCTGAAATCCATGTACAATGACCAGAATCTCCCCAGCAAAATGTTTGTCTTTATAAAGGAAGAGATCGTCTACCCAAGGCAGGCCCAGGTATCTTCAAATTCCAGGACCAGGGGCAGGTGCTGGAGAGTCATTGGCAAAATAGACAGAGGATGTCCTGAGCCCTTGGAGGGGAAAACTGGAGACTAATGTACAGTATGGTGACTATAGTTAAAATATTGTATCATACAATTGAAATTTGCTAAGATGTCAAGTATACTTTAAGTAATATCACCCCCCCTAAAAAGAAAGAATACAATAACTATGTGAGGTGATTGTTATGCTAATGAGCTTGATTGTGGTGATCATTTTATGATGTATACCAATATCAAAATATCAATTTGTACACTTTAAATATATACAAATTTGGTCATTGTACCTCAATAAAGATGGGAGAAAGGTGATAAAAAACAAAAGCTTAGTACATGTTGGGAAGTCTAAGTGGCCAAATTGGAAATAGGGCACAAAATGGAGAGTCACATATCATTGTGCATTCAATACTGGAGTGAAAGAAATCCCAAAAGGAAATAAGCTCTGTGACAAATAGACAACAGCAATGAAATCCCCGAGGCATATATGAAGGAGGAAAGAGTTGTTCTGGGTTCTGGCCTGGGGATGATTAGTGACTGTTAGCACTTATCCAAGAGAGAATCTTCCTTTCTGACGTTATATGGATTAGTGATGGTCTGATGTGGCATAATCATACATTGTTTCATAAATCATCAGCTACACTTTAGGCTGTTTGGGCCCACCCTAGACTGAGGAAAACAGGAAATATAGACCCCAAGCTTGACTGAGTCAATACTTTGCACAGCCATTTATTTATTTGCAGTTTCAAACATTTACGGAGGGCCTAGTATAGAATCACTGAGCACCCATAATGGAATCAGATACTATCTCTAGTAACAGATTAAGTAAGCACCTGAGTCACTCAAAAAAGTGTTTTATAAAGATGCTGTTTCCCAAGGAAAGGGAGGGATTGAAATGTAGGACTCATTCACAGCCTAGAATAGCAGCCCAGGAGCCTGAGAGAGCCAACTGGAAGGGTAGTTAGAGGCCAAGACAGGATTAAGGCGAAGCAAATATCCATGAAGCAGAATCCCAAAGCTCAACCACCGAGTGGAAACCCTCTTAAAATGTGAAATCACTGAAGAATAAAAATGAATGTCCAGCTGCTTTGGCTTGGCCGCGTTCAGACTCCAACAGATTGGCACCAGGTACTTCTGCCCAGCTGCACTCCAGTTCCAGTTTCTTGGGCCCAGTGGTGCTCCAGCTGCAGCTCCTGCTTCTTTGGCCCAGCCACACTTCAGCTGCAGCTGCTTCAACCCAGCAGTGTTCCAGATCCAGCTGTTCCCATACTCCAGCTCCAGCTGCTTCCACTCAGCTGCACTGAAGCTTGGCCGTGCTCCAGCTCCGGCTTCTTCAGATCACCCGCTCCCAAGCCCCAGCTGCTTTGGCCTAGCCACACTCCAGTCCCAGCTGTTCCTGTGCTCTAGCTCCAGCTGTTCCCACGCTCCAGCCCCAGCAGCCTCTGCTCAGCAGTGCTTCAATCCAGCTATGCTTCAGCTCAGCCACACGTCAGCTCAGCCATGGGCAAACCAGAGCTCCCTCAGATTGAGGCAGGCACAGAATACACAACTCTTGACCCCCACCCAGTGGCGGCAAGAGGAAACTGCAATCAGATATTTTCAATATGATGAAAAATAAGCCAAAGCCAACAGGCACTATGCAAAAATATATTAACTCCCCAGACCAAAAGGAAAATGACAAGCACCCAGAAATCAACCCTGAAAGCACAGAAATTCATAACCTTAATGACAGAGAATTCAAAATAGCTATCATAAAAAAGCTTAATGAAATACAAGAAAATACAGATAGACAATTCAATGAAATCTGGAATTTCTTCACAAAAGAGATTGAAAATATAAAGAAAAACCAATCAGAAATCTTAGAGATGAAAAACACAATAGAGGAGATAAAGACAAATCTGGAAACCTGAAACATCAGATCTGACAATATGGAGGAAAGAATTAGCAATATTGAGGACAGTGATGAATAAATGCTTCAGATGGAGGAGGAAAGAGAACCAGAGTCTTAAGAAATGAAGAAACTCTCTGAGATCTGACTCAATTAGGAAATCCAACATAAGGATTATAGGTACTCCAGAGGGAGAAGAGAGGGAAAAGGAGCAGAGAGCTTGTTCAAAGAAATAACACCTGAGAACTTCCTAAACCTGGGGAAGGAGCTGAAAATACCAGTGAATGAAATCAATATATCTCCTAAATATATCAACATGAAAAGACCCTCTCCAAGGCATATAGTAGTAAAGCTGGCAAAAGTCAATGACAAAGAAAAAATATTAAGGGCAGCTAGACAAAAATATAAATAAGTAAATAACATACAAAGGGATTCCTATCAGACTCTCAGCCAATTGCTTGACAGAAACTTTACAGGCTAAGAGAGAGTGGAACGACATATTCAAAATTATCAAAGATAAAAACCTTCAGCCAAGAATACTCTATCCAGCAAAAATATCCTTCAGATATGATGGAGAAATAATAACAATCCCTGATAAACAAAAGCTAACGGAGTTCGTTGCTACAAGACCCCCATACAAGAAGAACTCAAGAAAGCCCTCATGCCTGGGGAAAAAAAAGAGAAGGGGGATACAAATATTTGAAAAAGGAGGAAAATAGTTCAACAAAACCAGAAAAAGTGCAGTTCTCTATCAGAATAGATTAGCAAACACTTAATTATAAAACCTAAGTTCAAGGGAAGGAAAACATCAAAAATAAATAGAACCTCATCTCTTTAACCACAAACTCACGACACAAGACAGAATAGTTGTGACAACAATAACTTAGAAGGAGAAAAGGAAAGGGATTGAATTGACTTAGTCTAAGGGAATAAGAGGCCATCAGAAAATGGAATGTCACATCCATGAGATTTTTTATACAAACCTCATGGTAACCACTAAACAAATAATCAGAACAGAGTCACACACAATAAATAAAGAGAAAACTAAGAGAAGCATCATATGGAACTATCAAACTGAATTGGTAGTCAGAAACAAATAGGAAGAGAAACAAAAGAAATGCAAAAGAACAAGAAAATGAGCAATAAAATGGAAACATTAAACCCTCATATATCAATAATTACCCCAAATGTAAATGGGCTGAACTCTCCAATCAAAAGACACAGAGTGGTGGGATGGATTAAAAAACAAGACCCAAAAAATGGTGCCTCCAGGAAAAACATCTCAGCTCTAAAGACAAAGATGGCCTCAGAGTGAAAAGATGGAAGATAATGCTCCAAGCTAATGGCAAAAAAAATAAAGCAGGTGTTGCCATACTTATATCAGACAAAGTAAGCTTCAAGATAAAACTTGTAATGAGAGACAAAGAGGGGCAATGTACAATGATAAAAGGGACACTCCACCAAGAAGAAATAACACTTATATATGCACCCAACGCAGGAGCACCAAAGTACATAAAGACATAAAGCAACTATTAACAAACCTAAAGGAGATATCAACAAGACAATAACAGTAGGGGACCTTAACACCCCACTTACATCAATGGATAGATCATCCAGACAGAAAGTCAATAAGGAAATAATGGACTTAAATG